AGCTACTTGGGAGGCTGAGGCAAGAGACTCGCTTGAGCCCAGGAGTGGGAGGTTGCTGTGAGCTGAGATGCCACGGCACTCTACTCAGGGGGACAGCTTGAGGCTCTGTCTCAAAAAAAAATAAAAAAAAACAGGTACAATACAGAGATATATGGCACACCTACTGAGTGAAGGGCTCAACTACAACTGGGACTTTGCGAAACAAATGTAAACAGTGTAACCTAATCATTGGTACCCTAATATTAATCTCAAAAAAAAAAAAAAAAGGACAGAAAGACAAAGGATAGTGAGTGTTGGTAAGAATGGGGATGAAATGTGAACTGGTACACCCATCATGGAAAGCAGAGCAGAGGTTCCTCAATCACATTTCTATATAGCAGCAACAAACAAACAATTTTGGAAACTGAAGTAAAAGTTACAATAGCATAAAACACTTGAATCACTTAAAGATAAATCTGACAAAAGACTTGCAGACCTGAACATAGAAAACTACAAATTGTTGCTGTGAGAAATGTTAAAAGACATTTAAATAAATAAGTAGAGAGATACATCATGTTCATGGGCTCTTTAGATCAGAAGGTCCAATATTGTTCAGTGTCTGTTCTCTCCCCCAAATGATCTACAGATTCAATGCAATCCCAATTCCAACAGGCTTTTTGGGTAGACATTGAAAAACTGATTCTAAAAATTTATACACAAATATAAAAGACCTAGAATAGCCAAATCAAATTTAATACAAAACAGAATTTGAAGAGTACTATCTGATTTCAATATTTATTATAAAGCTACAGTAACCAAGAAAGTTTAGTATTCACATGAATATAAACAAATAGATCACTGTAACAAACAGACCCATACATACATAGACAACTAATTCACCCCCCCCCACACACACACACATACTGCTTTTTTTTTCTTTTTTCTTTTGGAGACAAGGTCTTGCTCTATTGCCTAGACTGGAGTACAGTGGCATCATCATAGCTCACAGCAACCTCAAACTTCTGGGCTCATGTAATCTTCCTGCTTTAGCCTTCTAAGTAGGTAAGACTGCAAAAGCATGACAGCACATCTATCTGATTTTTGTTGTTGTTTTTTGTAGAGATAAGGTGTCACTCTGTTGCTCTAATGAAGTTGGTCTTGAATTTGTTGCCTCAAGGGATCCTCCCCACCACAGACTCTCAAAGTGCTGGGTTTACAGACATCAACTACCATTCCTGGATGGATGACTGATTTTCAGCAAAGTAGGCAATTCAGTAGAGAAAGTCTTTTTAATAAATTATCCTGGAATAATTGAATACCTCTAAGCAAAACAATAAACTTTGACCCGTACATCCAAAAACTAACTTAAAATGGATCATTGACCTAAATGTAAACCTAAAACTAAAATTCTTAACAGAAAAAGGAGAAAATTATTTGTGAATTTGGCAGAGATTTCTTAGCTATGACACTAAAATTATGATCCATAAAAGAAAAAAATTCACAAACTGGACTATTGGTGGGGGGGTGATGGCTCACACTTGTAATCCTAGCCCTCTGGGAGGCCAGGGCAGGTGGATTTCTTGAGCTCACGAGTTTGAGACCAGCCCAACCAAGAGTGAGACTCAATCTCTACTAAAAATAGGAGGAAAAAAACCAAAAAACAAAATACTAGCCAGGTGTCCTGGCAGGTGCCTGTAGTCCCAGCTACTCAGAAGGCTGAGGCAAGAGGATCAGCTAGATGATGCCACAGCACTCTACCCAGGGCAGAAAAAATTAAAAAAAAAATTAAGATACTATCAAAAGAATACAAAGATTCTCAAAACTTTTTTTTTTAAATCAAGATACTATTAAGAGACTACTAAGAAAAAAATTTTTAAAAATCAAGATACTATTAGGAGACTACTAAGACAAGCCATTGATTGGGAGAAAGTATTTACAAATCCTATGTCTGATAAAGAATGTCTTCATACAATGGAATACTACACACCAGTTAAAAGAAATGAACTATTGATAGAGCCAACAACATAAATTTCAAAATAATTATGTTGCGTGCAAGAAGTTAGTCAAAAAAGAATACCTGCTGTATAATTTCATTTATATAAAATACTAAAAAAATGAAAACTAATCTTTGGTGACTGAAAGTCTAGTGGTTGCCTGGGGGACAGAGAAGAGCGGGAGAGAGAAGAGGTTGCGGGAAAGAGCGGGATGAATGGGCTAGGAAGTGTGGGAAAAAGGGATTACTGAGCGGCATGAAGGGACTTCAGCGTGGTCATCTCACGAGTACACATATGTCAAACTTATCAAATGGTGCACTTCTAACATGTGAAATGTCTTGTTATATATGTCACTTTACCACAAAAACCTGTTTTTTAAAAGGATATGGAATAAATTTGACAAAATATTAACATTTATAAAATTGTGATAGTAAGCATATGGGCATAAATGTTTTCTTCAAACTTTTCT